AAAAACTCTTTAAATTAAAAAAATTTGTTTTTTTTTAAGATGGAGATCACACTATGTTGCCCAGGCTGGCCTCCAGCTCCTGGGGTCAAACAATTCTGCCACTTCAGCCTCCTGAGTAGCTGGACTACAGGCATGTGCCACTGTACCTGGCTCCTAATTGCTATTTTATGATATTACTAAAAATATCTAGGGACAGGGATCATAGTAATTTCAGTCCTCTCTGAACATGCTTAGAAACTTCAGCTGTGAGGCCGGGCGCGGTGGCTCAAGCCTGTAATCCCAGCACTTTGGGAGGCCGAGACGGGCGGATCACAAGGTCAGGAGATCGAGACCATCCTGGCGAACACGGTGAAACCCCGTCTCTACTAAAAAAAATACAAAAAACTAGCCGGGCAAGGTGGCGGGCGCCTGTAGTCCCAGCTACTCGGGAGGCTGAGGCAGGAGAATGGCGTAAACCCGGGAGGCGGAGCTTGCAGTGAGCTGAGATCCGGCCACTGCACTCCAGCCTGGGTGACAGAGCGAGACTCCGTCTCAAAAAAAAAAAAAAAAAAAAAAAAAAAAAGAAACTTCAGCTGTGATGTCTTCCAGAACCTTATCCTTCTGGTCACCTGCCTTTGGGCTTTCTTTTCTTGGTCACTGACTTTCATAAAATGTGCCTCCTATAGTGTATTTTCTGCTGAATAATCTTTGTTGAATACAGTGGGCTATTACATTATCTGAAATGATCCTTCTTTTAAAGCAGACTGACATTATATCACCTTTGTTGGCCATTTTGTTAGTTAGTCCATATTGAGCCTGTAGTGAAGTAAATTTCATTTTTTCTTAATCTGCACATAAAATATTTTCAGTGTTTCCTCATTATGTACATTAATAATTATTCTGTCTCTATTAAAATTTATTTTTGCTAGTTTCTACACTGCCATTTTCTCATTTAATTAATAGTTATTCTCCTAGTTCTACATTTAGCAGTTAATACTAGTTTACTGGTAGTAATATCAAGTAATTGCTAGGTAAGTATAATTTTACATCATAATTCACATCATTAATAAATTAGTAACAAGGCAGAATCTCTGGCTGCCCTGAGCAGACCATTAAAGACCAGAGGAAGTGGCTTTAATAACAAATTTGAAAGGAAAGTGAATTTTATCTATTTTTTTAATTTATAAAATCAGAATTTTTGTTATTTGACTGTCATGTAAAGAATGAGGAAGAATTTGTTATAATGTAGGAACAGGAATGAACAGTTTTTTAAGACAGAGAAGTCTAGTTTGTGTGCAAAAACCTGGAGGGAAGAGATGGTTATAGACACTTTGAAAACTCTCAGGAGTCCATTGTGGCCAAGTTAGAGAACAAAGTACCAGAGAGATACTCTGGGCAGAGAGAAATGAAGCTGGAAAAGTAAACAGGTGCCATAGTGTTCAGAGCCTTGCATGTGAATTCTGGCAGGGACCTTGAAAAAGCACTTAACCTCCCAGACGTGGTTTTCTTAATTGCCTGGTAGAAGGATACACTGGGTTGAGTGCAGTGGTTCATACCTAGTGAGCACTTTGGGAGGCCGAGGCCAGAGGATTGCTTGAGTGTAGGAGTTTCAGACCAGCTTGGGCAACATAGTGAGATGTCTCTACTAAAAAATAAAAAAATTTAGCTGGCTGTGATGATGCATGTCTGTAGTCTCGGCTACCTGGGAGGCTGAGGCAGGAGGATTCCTTCAGCTCAGGAGTTAGAGGTTGCAGTGAGCTGTTATTGTGCCACTGCACTCCAGCCTGGGCAATGGAGTAAGACGCAGTCTGAAAAAAAAAAAAAAAAGAAGATAAAATGAAACCTGCCTTGCCATGGCAGTGGAGGTGAAGGGGGTACTGCTCCTAGCTCCTCACATATAAGGGTCTCAAAACATATTTACAAATAATTTTAAATATTCTTTATCTGGTGAAGAAAATTGTCATTGGACCATGGAATAAAAAGAATAAGTTGACTAAAGATTTTTTAACAGCCAAATATTAAAATTTATTAATTATTTTTCTCAGTTGGCCAAAATTTTAGAGGCATTGTGAAAATTTGTTGAGTTAGAGTTTTTTTTGGTTATTTTATTACTCAGTATTTAAGTTTGAAAAGCCAGAAGACTGGTGTTAGAGGTTATGAAACCTTTTATCCTGTTTGATATGAATGGGATGCTTCTAATTAATTGTGTAGAGATGGCTTTGCAAATGCATGTATAGGTAATTATCTTTGTGAGTAGTCTGGAAAAATTTGTTTGGTATAGTTTTAAGACCATCATTTTGTGTTTTCTCCTAGTTTTGTAAATTTAAATAGAAAACATATGCATATCAGTTCTATAGATTTGTAACTTACAGCTACATATAATTATTGTAAAACTAATGCTTTTATAAAATACTAGAAAATAAAAAGGTGGATTCACACCACCCAAGCTAACTGCTAACATTTTAGAAAATTTCCTTCCTATCTTTCTGTATTTGCATATGATCATTTCAAACACGTTTTTTTTTAATTGTAAAAGTAGGACATTTTAATGACTTTTTTTTTTCAAAAGAAGTGGGTGGTAAAAGTTGACCCTCTTCTCTACCCTTTCTCCACTTCCCAGAGGTAGTCTTTATAGCTGCTTTTCTTCTTTGTATTCAGATAGCTAGCTTCCAGTGAGCCTGACTCATGGCAATCTGGAGTCAGGATGTAACTAATATATTCAGTAGATATTAGTTGCATTAAACTTTATCTCATTTAATTGTTGATATGAGTAAAAAGTTAAAAAGCATGATTCTGGTTAAAATTTAATCAAGTTATGATTTTATCTACTATTTAATCATTCATTATGTCCTCAGTTTCATACTAATTGGTATCACTACAGTTGCTGCCTTTGGTTCCTAGTACTTTTTGCACTTGTTAGCTTTGGCTGACATGGAGTAGATTTGCAGTGAACTGATTTACAGTACTTGCTGATTTTGTCCAGACCTTTCACTAAAATATTCTAACAGTGACTTTTAGTTTGCAGCACAGATGTAAAATTGCTCTGTTGTATGTACCATCTAGTTTTATAACTTTATAACAGGATGACTTTGGGGGTACATAAAATTAACAAATAAATTTAAATTATCTTATCAGGGTTCATGATACTTTCCCTTAAAAGGCATATTTAGGTAGTCTTCAGATTTGATAAATGAATGCTAGGGATTTTAGATTAGGAGCCAAATGTATCTTTTCTATTTCTTTTCTTCATTATACCAAGGCTTCACTGATGTATATAGACATACAGATGGCTAGGTTATCTACTAAAGTAGAGATGTAATCTTTAGTTAGTTCTAGAAATATAACTTGGGTGTCTGTGATCCAGCCATGTACAGTGCTGAGCAATGGGATTAAAAACATTGAATAAGACACAGTTTTTTCCTTTGACTTTGCAGTTAATTTTTATCCTTTTTGGTTTTTCTATAGAATTGAATACTGAAAAAGCATAGACTAGGAAGTTTGGAGGAAGTGGAGAAAGGAGCAGGAAGTAGTTTGAAGTGCTTTAGTGAGCTATAAATAGAATCAAAGTGAAGAATGGATATAACAGAGGAGCCCGTTGATCTCCTCAACCCTGGACTCTTACGGGGCACGTGACTTGTTGCAAGAATGAACCTAATCTATGTTGAACGCATTCTTCTAAGAAAGTTTTTCTAAATCAGTACATTTATTATTAAACATACCTAGAAACTTATTTTTGACCAACGATATGATTGGCAAGTAAATTATCTTCTACAAACAGAGAAATGAAGGGATAAGGACAGTTGCCCTTTAAACAGGAAGGTCTTGTCTTACAAACTCAAATGCGTTTGAGATGAATAACACTGTTTATATACGTGTCATGGCTTCCACTGGTTTTGCAAGACCTCATTTGATGATCTAAGTACATGTGATCATTCTTCACTGAGAAATGCCTATGGCACCTTTTTTGTTTGTTTTTAATTTCAAAATTTCAGATGTTAGACCAGCAAATACTATAATGTGTTCTTGAGGTAAGATACAGTGATGCATTTTTAATATGATTTTTGTTTCCTCTATTCCTTTTTTCTGTCATCTAACACTTATTTTGTAATGATGTATTTAAAAAAATTATCAGCTTCTTTCAATATAAAGTTATTAATTTATTGTGAAAATGACATCATTCTCATTTTTTCTCTATGTGATAGATTAAGGTCTGACATTTTATTTTCCTGTGACATCTTAAGAATTGTAGACAAGCACTAATCTTTTGTTACAGTTATTTTGCCAGATATAAGGGAGGCAATGAAGTTAAGTAGGTTTCATTGTGTAGTAGAGGTCAGGAAGCCAGTAGTTTACTTCCTATATCAAGCATTTTCTGTTGTTCATACAATGCATTAGATGCATTTTTGGCTTATATTACTCTTTGCTCATTGATACAGTTCATGGCCATCAATCTATCTTTAAACTTCAGACATCATTTTTGGTAAATAGGATAAACTCTGTTGATTTTCTGATAAAATATTTATTTACTGTAACTTAAATGCCTCTCCTTAAAAACCAAGTGCTGGAAATGAGTTTAACATATCAACCAAGCCAACTTGTATGTATTTGATGAAGTCTAGGCTTATTAGATTCAATTCCAAAGAAATGGAGTTTGAAAAAAGAGGTTTTATTTCACATGTTATTAATTTTAAATGTTTGTTATGTGCTATAAATAAATGGCTATCTCTTCTCACCCTATTCATAGAAAATCTGCTTTACTACATTCTTCCCCTCTAGTTTTATTAAAGTGTAATTGACAAAAATTGTACATATTTAGAGTGTACATTGTGGTGTTTTGATATGTGCTGCTTTACTGCATTCCTACTGAATGTTGGTTACATTTGTATTTTATCCCCTTGTATGTATTAGATACAGAGTACATATTTGTTGATCATTTCCCTTTTAACACTATGTATAGTATACTAGTTTTCTTTTACCAACTAATGTTCCATTGTTTTTTTTTTCTTTCTTTCTTTTACCAGTTTCTCAAACAATTAGGTCTGCATCCTAACTGGCAATTCGTCGATGTATATGGAATGGATCCTGAACTCCTTAGCATGGTACCAAGACCAGTCTGCGCAGTATTACTTCTCTTTCCTATTACAGAAAAGGTAATTGTTAAGTAAAATAGAAAGTTTCTGGTAAATACAATTTTTGTTTTCGTCTATCTTATTTTTTGAGCCAGGATCTCACTCTGTTGCCTAGGCTGGAGTGCAGAGATGTAATCATGGCTTACTGCAGTCTCAACTTCCCAGGCTCAAGCGATCCTCCTGCCTTAGCCTTTCAAGTAGCTGGGACCACAGGCATGTTTCACCACACCTAGCTAATGCTTGTATTTAATTTTGTAGAGCAGGGCCTCACTGTGTTGCCTGGGCTGGTCTCCAACTCGGACTCAAGTGGTCCTCCCGCGTTGGTCTCCCAAAGTGCTGGGCTTATAGGCATGAGCCACTGTGCCCAGCCCAATTTCTTTTTCTTCTTTTTTTTAATTTACAAAGTTTTTGATAAATACAATATTTAAGAACAAATGATCCCCTTCTTGCATAAAATTAGGCAATCTAGGCAGTGAAGAAATCTTAAAAATGTTTTTATTAAAGAGATGATATTTAGATTTTGATGACAGTAAAGTCCTAGGTTAGTGCTTTTTTTTTTTTTTTTTTTTTTTTTGAGACGGAGTCTCGCTCTGTTGCCCAGGCTGGAGTGCAGTGGCCGGATCTCAGCTCACTGCAAGCTCCGCCTCCCAGGTTTATGCCATTCTCCTGCCTCAGCCTCCCGAGTAGCTGGGACTACGGGCGCCCGCCACCTCGCCCGGCTAGTTTTTTGTATTTTTTAGTAGAGATGGGGTTTCACCGTGCTAGCCAGGATGGTCTCGATCTCCTGACCTCGTGATCCGCCCGTCTCGGCCTCCCAAAGTGCTGGGATTACAGGCGTGAGCCACCGCGCCCGGCCAGGTTAGTGCTTTAAGCTTGGGTAGTTTTCTTCTTTTATGAAATTTTGTTTGCCTCAGCTGTGTTTTGATGTCACATGTAATCACATTGTGATTTATATATTTTAGAAATTTTAAATACTAGAATAAACTTAAATACACTTTTTTAATACAAATAAAAAAGGAATCTCCTTTGCCTATTTTAAGTTGGTAGGGAAACTGATACCGTGGGTTACATTACTTTCAAAATAAACTTGAATGGGAATCACTAAGCTTAAATACATTTTAATTGGCAGATTTGGGGTGTGTTGGGGATTATAAAAAGCTATTCTTTGAGCTCTGTATTTAAATTCAAGTCTACATATTTTAGTCCTTTTTTCTAGAATGATGTGTGTGTATGTTTCTGTGTGTGTATATATGTATATGTATACATACATATACATATATGTGTGTACATATACACACACACGCACATGTATATGCATAGTGGAGCCAGAACTTTTGAGTGCATTTTATAATAGATTTTGAGGCTATATCCTTCTGATTTTTATTTTTGAAATTAGAAACAGTAGGATGATTGCAGTAGTTATGAAAAAATGAAGTAAGTGGGACGATGTGAGAGAAATATGTTGATGATTTGGCATATTTGTGCTCAGGTCATCCTACTCTTCAGGACTAAATGGAGCCAAATCCCACAGGATTTAAGACTTAGACTTTGCTTAGTCCTGGAAATTCCTGGATCATTTTCTTTATGCCATAACAAATTAGCCTCAATTCAAGGTAAATTAAATAACATTGAAAATTTTCTCTCTTCTACTTAAGGGTTCTACAAAACAAATTATTCAGTAAAAGAAATGGTATTTCTTTGCATTTGCTATTCATAATAGAGAAATTTGGAGTTAGGAATTTCTTAGTGATTGTCTAGTATTAGACCAAACCTCTACACAATGGTAAGGTTATGATTATTGACATTTATAGAAGAGTTAAGACAAGAACTTAAGTTTACTCTCTTTTAATCCAATGTTATTTTTACCTTTTTTTGATTACAAAAATAAGCCAACAGATAACTATCCCAGGACCCCAATTGTAATGAACAGTAAATAATTGAAAAAAAATCAGTTGCCTAAAGCTTAGGGTTTCTTAGCTGATGTGATACAAATAGTAGTTTTTTGTCTGAATTGGAAATTTCCAAACCATTGGTTTTTTATGACATTTTTTGTAAAAAATAAATTAGATTTGCTCTCTTTCAGTTAGTGAGTCATCAGTATTAAAAAGGCATATTATCCTTATTAATAGGATTTAATTTAGTAGATTATCAGAGCTAAAAAACTTTCAACTCCCTGTTGAAAGGTAGAACACAGTTCTAAAGTATTGCGTAAGTAAATTTGTACTTACATAAGTAGAAAATTTATGTAAGTAAATATATAAATAAGCATAAATACTTTACTTATATAACTATAATAACATATAAGTAGAGAATATAAATAGCATGTACCACTTTTAGATGTCTTACAGTTTTGTAGATCCTTATTTCAGCTTATAGGTGATATATTGCAAAGTTATTAAGAGGCTATCTAGTGCATTCTTTAGGAGCTGCAAAGTGTTTGTCTTTGAAGTTCCAATTTAAAAATTGAATATGTAGTTGTGAATGACTTAAGCAAAGGAACTGTCATGGGTACCTCATTACCCTTTATGTATATATGTAATGTATGGTATGTATGTATACATTTACTTATTTTCTGAGACAGCATCTCACTCTGTTGCCCAGGCTGGAGTGCAGTGGTGCGATCTCGGCTCACTGCAACCCATGCCTTCCAGGTACAACTGATTCTCCTGCCTCAGCCTCTGGAGTAACTGGGATTTCAGGCGTGTGCCACCATACCTGGCTAATTTTTTATATTTTTAGTATAGACAGGATTTCACCATGTTGCTCAGGCTGGTCTCAAACTCCTGACTTTGAATGATTTGCCCACCTTGGCCTCCCAGAGTGCTGGGATTATAGGTGTGACTTATTACCCTTTAAAGTCAATCATGGTGGGTTTTTAAAAATAAATTTTATTATGTATATTTGAAGTTTACAACATGATATAGGATTCATATACATACCAAACTAGTTACAATAGTGAAGCAGATTAACATATCTATCATCACATAGTTAATTTTTTTGTGACGAGCAGCTAAAATCTACTTATTTAACAAAAATCTCTAATGCAATATAATTTTATTAACTAGTCTTCATGTTGTACATAAGATCTCTAGACTTGTTACTTGTTTTTCCTACACATCTGCTATTTTGTGTCCTTTGACCTACATCACATCACCTCCCCGCCAACCTCTGTTTCATTCTTTCTGTGTATTTGACCTTTTAAAAAAAAAAAAAAATTCCACGTATCAGTGATAATTATACAATATTTTTCTTTCTGTGTCTGGCTTATTTCACTTAGTATAATGTCCTTCAGGTTCATCCATGTAGCAAATGCTAGGATTTCCTTTTTTTAAGGCTGAATAATATTTCTGTGTGTGTGTGTATGTGTGTCTATATGTATACCGCTTTTTCTCCCAACCAAGTACTAACCAGGTCCAACCCTGCTTAACTTCTGAGATCAGACGGGATTGGGTACATTCGGGGTAGTATGGTCGTAGACTATACCATGTTTTTATCCATTTATCCATCTATGGACATTTGGGTTGTTTCCATATCTTGGCTATCGTGAGTAATGCTGCAGTGAACATGGAAGTGCGGATATCTTTACAAGGTAGAGATTCATCTCCTTTACAAGGTGATTCGTCTCCTTTGGATATGAATTGCTGAGTCATATGGTAGTCTATTGTTAATTTCTTTAGAAATCTCCATACTGTTTTTCATAATGGCTGTACGAATCTGTATTCCGACCAACAGTGCACTTGGGTTCCCTTTTCTCCACGCCCTCACCAACATTTATTATCTCTTTTTGATAATTGCCATCAATGATAGTTTTTTTTTTTTTTTGTTTTTTTTTTATTGTTGTTTGTTTTGAGACAGAGTCTTACTCTGTTGCCCAGGCTGTAGTGCAGTGGTGCGATCTCAGCTCACTACAACCTTTGCTTCCTGGGTTCAAGCAATTCTCATGGCTCAGTCTCTGGAGTAGCTGGGATTACAGGCATGTGCCGCCACGCCTGGCTAATTTTTATATCTTTAGTGGAGACGGTGTTTCATTGTGTTAGCGTGGCTGGTCTTAAACTCCTGACCTCAGATAATCCACATGCATCAGCCTCCCAAAATGCTGGAATTACAGGTGTGAGCTACCATGCCCGGCCAATGATAGTGTTTTGAATATGTTCTTTGTGATAGTGCAGTCCAGCCAGTAAATCATAGGCAAAGAGGCTATAAATTTATTTCTCTCTGATGTTTATGTCTCTTGGCCTTAATATTTTTTACTTTTTGATCTAAAATTTCTTTTTTTTCCTTTACTTGCTTTGTATCATTTTAGGACTTTTTTCCTATACATTACATCTTGAAATTATCAAATCTTATTTTGCTTTGTCATCAGGAACATTAACAACAGACTAAGCTGTAGAACTGTAAACTTTTCAGCATAAGATTATAATATACTGAATCTTTCTAGTTTTTTATCAGACTTACTTTTCATTCTGAAAATGTTACTTGAAATGTCATTTAGAAGCACAGTAATAAAATTCATATTTTGAACATAGATACATTTGTTGTTAGAAGCAGTTTATTATTTTTTTCTCCGATAGGCAAGAGATAAAAGAAGCAGTTTCTTAACTACTTATAGGTTTTCTATAGACATCGTTTGTTTCTTTTATTGCAGGGAATCAGGAAAATATTTCTGTAAGACTAGATAGTAAATATTTTCAGCTTTGCAGGCCTTAAAGTCTCTGTTGCAACTATTTGACTTTGCCTTGTAAACATCCATAGACAATACATAATGAAATTTTACTTAAGAAAAGAGGCAGTGGGCCCGATTTGGCCTGTAGTCTGTTATTTGCTGACCCCGTTCTATTAGAAGCAGAAAGTTATGGGAAAACTATAAACAAAACAATAAAATCATCTTTCTCCTCCCCACCTCACCAATTTTTTAACCTTTTTGCTATTTTTTACTCTTTCTTACACTATTAGGAAACTGAGATACAGAGACATGAAGTAATTTGCTAAAGTCACACAGCTAATAACAGCTGAGCCAGGATGTGGGCCCAGGCAGTCAGCTGTAGAGCCCACATTTTTGATGCTTATTATTATACCCTATTGTTTTTATAACCAGTTATTATAGATAATGGTTAGTGTCAGTTACAGATTATATAATGTGAATTTTATAAATATGCTATGATTTTCCAAAAGGAAAAATATTTTTGCCAATGATAAACAATAAGAAATGTAACAATTAGCAAATAAAAGTTCTCCAGTAATCTCTTGGCCCAAAAATAACCTCTATTAAGTTTTTGCATAGCCTTTCAGACTTTCCAATATGTATGTACATATTTTAAAAACATAAATGGGAATTGTTATTAATACATACTGGCCTATAACCACACTTAGTTGTGGACAAAGTTCTAAATCAGAATATGTAAATCTAGTGTGCTTTATAGTATTCTATTATGATATGCCATAATATATGTTAACCAAATCTCCATTGATGGATATTTAGAATTTTTTCCAGTTTTGTGCTCTTAGAATTATATATCATTTTAAAGATTATGTCTTAGACCAATTTCCTACAAATGAAATTGCTTATTGGAGTGTATGAGAATTTAAAATGTTAATACATATTGCCATATGCCCAGTAACATGATTGTACAAATATATACCTTTAATAATGGCATAAGAGAATACCTTTTTGCCCATACCTTCACCATCACTGGCTACTGCTATTCATTTTTCAATCTTTTATCAGTCTGGTAGGTGATAAATTAATTATTTTAAACTCTTTTATAAAAATATTTTTTATCATTTATATTTTTTCTTTTACAGTCTGAGTTTTTTAATGTTATTTTCCACATATACACTGTTGCCTTTTTTTTTTTTTAACAGTATGAAGTATTCAGAACAGAAGAGGAAGAAAAAATAAAATCTCAGGGACAAGCTGTTACATCATCAGTATATTTCATGAAGCAAACGATCAGCAATGCCTGTGGAACAATTGGACTGATTCATGCTATTGCAAACAATAAAGACAAGATGCACTTTGGTAAATGATATTTCATTACTGCATTTTTTTTTGCCCTTAATATATGTTACTTTCATTGAGCAGTAGGTGGTGCTCTAATTCTTTCTTCAAACTATAAAATAAAGCATTCCCTGCTTCTTTTATGATGGGAATGTATATACTGTTAGAAGAAATATTAATCCTTCTCATTCTTTTATATTGTTGACTAATAGAGGTTAAACAAATGAACAAATATTAATAATGTAAGGCTTATCATTTATAACATGATCCTTACATTTCTAATTTACCAGTGAAATAATTTAACCTGAAGAATAGTAGCATACTTCTAGTATTTTCATATATTGGTCTCTCTGCTATATCAAGCCTTTTAAATTTTATCTTCTTTCATATTCTCAGAATCTGGATCAACCTTGAAAAAATTCCTGGAGGAATCTGTATCAATGAGCCCTGAAGAACGAGCCAGATACCTGGAGAACTATGATGTCGGTACCTTCTTTCTGTTTTGATCTCATATGTGGACAAAGTTTTGTGGGATTGTAGATGTGTTTGGGGGTTTTGTCTTGAAACCATAGTTTTGAGCAGTTATGGATTTTATTGTATCCATTAAGAAAAGCCTTTTGTACTTTTCAGATAACTTTGAAATATCCATAAATGCTGATAAGTTGACATTTCTTTTCTATGTTCAGAGCTGTCTTAATGGATAAAAGCAGTTTGATTTACAAATTTTTTTTTTTGAAATGGAGTCTTGCTCTGCCACCCGGGCTGGAGTGCAGCAGTGCCATCTCTGCTCACTGCAAGCTCTGCCTCCTGGGTTCAAGCAATTCTTGTGCCTCAGCCTCCTGAGTAGCTAGGATTTCAGGTGCGTGGCACCACACCTGGCTAGTTTTTCTATTTTTAGTAGAGACAGGGTTTTGCCATGTTGGTTAGGCTGGTCTCGAACTCCTGGCCTCAAGCAGTACCTCCGCCTCGGCCTCCGAAAGTGCTGGGATTATAGACATGAGCCACCGTGCCTGGCCCTGATTTACAAGTTAATAAAATATCTTATGATTGACTATTCCTTACCATTCCCTCCCTAAAATAAATATATACCTGCCAGTACCCTATGTATCTTTTATTGGGAATTTGGAACAAGGCTGAAGATGAAAGGAAAAAGCAAAGGTTTCAAGGTAGACGTTAGACCATACTGTGGCTATTTTATCAATGTAATAACCAGGCCTCATAAACTAGGGTATATATATATATAATATAAGTCATATTTAATTCAGGTGATAGTGATTGTACCACTTCATATAACTGTTCTGAAATTGTTTTTAAAATTTATTACTTTTGGAATCAATTTTTCTTTTGAAATCTTTTGACTTTTTAATAACATTAATAAATAGATTATAAATTCTTTGAAATTAGGCATATAGTCTACAAATTATTTGGCTAGAACAATGCTTTATGTAGAATTTGTGCCTGATAAATTAATTGATTTGATTATGTTTTTATGCTTTCCAATATACTTTGAGAATTTTAAATTTTTTTTCTTTAAAAAAAACTAGAGACTTCATAAAACATCTTTATTATACATAAAAATTAACAACATGAAAATCAGTAATCTTACTAATGAGAGGTAGATAAACATTAATATTTTTTAGGGAGCGTATGTATATACACAGTTTTTTAAACAAGAATTTGATCATACTGTAATACTGTTTTATAACTTGCTTTTTTCACTTATCACAAACGTATTACATACCAGTAAGTATATATTTGATATTATTTAATGGCTGCATAGTTTCCATTATGTAGTATTGTATTTCACCAATAAATTATTGTTAGAAATTTAATAGTTTTTCTTCTTTTTCACTATTTTAATAACTACTGCAAGGTACATCATTGTAGCTAAATCTTCGTAAATATCCTTAATTATATATAATTATGTAGAATTATATGTAAATATATAAACTCCTAGAAGAGAAATTGCTGGATAAAATAGTTTGCATGTTTTTAAGGCTTGGATATTTATTTATTGCCAAATTGCTGTTTATAAAGATTGTACTTTCACCTGTAATTTACTATTGTGCCCATTTCTCTGGATGTTTGCAAATAGTGGGTACTATAAAAGTAGTTTATTTTTTAGTTCAGGAAACTAAATTCTGTAGCTTCTGATAAATGCATGAGTTGTGCTCCACATTTCTCAATTGCTGACTGAAACTGCATGATTAAGCATAAATACAGCCAGAGCTGCAGAGGAGCATGGAACCTGGAGAAACAGATGAGATAAGCTTCTTTAGTCTCTATCTGTGAAATGCTTACTTTATTCTAGTCTCAATCGAATAAAGTGTTAAGTGGTAGTTCTAACAACTGAATAAGTTAAATAGCCCCTACTTACAGCCTGGAAATTGCAAATAATCAGATATTCAATTTCCTAAGTTTTCAGAGATTTGTGAGTTACACAGTATAGTAATTCATTTGATTACCCAGATACCATTCTTAAATATCTAGTATTAAGCTGTTCTTAAATTTCCTTCAGTTTGTTGTTTCTTTTAGAAGACTTTAGGTATTAAAATTTAGCTTTGTTGTTTTCATTTAAAAAGTTGGGTATAGTCATTTTTTTCCAATGAATACCTTTATTCTTATTACAGGCCATCCGAGTTACTCATGAGACCAGTGCCCATGAAGGTCAGACTGAGGTATTTCACATTTTTTCTAAATTTTTCTTGCTATGTGTAAATTTAACCATAGTGTTATTATTATAGGACATACAGTTTTAGATAGTTACCTGGCTTTTTCTTTTTTCCTTTGAGATAATTTGCTTAAGCAAAAGCAGTCATAAAGTAGCAAACGAACATGTTTTGACAAGCTGTTAAGATGCTGCTGTCTGCTGTTTCAGTTCATCTATTTAGAGATAATGCAGATTGTGTGCTGTTTGTGCGGCTTACACGGTGGCCTGTGTCTTCCCTATCAGATTCCTTTGACTTCCAACTATTTTGAGACAAATACCTGCACTATTGTACGGTTAAATAACCTGTGCCTTTATTATGTCCTGCTTCCAGCAGAAAACCACATCATTTTCTTTGCTCAATAAATTTGTTTGAGGGTAAAGTAATGATCTTTACCATCTTTACCCTGTTAGCTAGTTCAGCTGGGTTGCTTTTCCTTTCCTTCTCTTGCCTCTTTTTTCATTTATTGGTTTCTTTCGTTTTTCCTTCCATCTTTTCTTTCTTGCCTTCCCTCCAGCCCTGGCTCTGTCACTCTAAGAGGAAGTTTGCCAGAAAGTATTTTAGTCAAAAATAATTTAAAGCTGTTTGGTATGTTTATAGCACATTTAAGGGTTAATACCAGAGAATTAGAGGTTTTCTTTTTTCTTATCCCATATGTGACTCGGAACCCCACTTTTTTTTTGTGGGATGGAGTCTCACTCAGTTGCCCAGGCTGGAGTGCAGTGGCGCGATCTCGGCTCACTGCAAGCTCCGCCTCCCGGGTTCACGCCATTCTCCTGCCTCAGCCTCCCGAGTAGCTGGGACTACAGGCACCCGCCAGCACGCCCGGCTAATTTTTTTCTTTTTTTTTTTTTTTTTGAGACGGAGTCTTGCTCTGCCGCCCAGGTTGGAGTACAGTGGCCGGATCTCAGCTCACTGCAAGCTCCGCCTCCCAGGTTTACGCCATTCTCCTGCCTCAGTCTCCCGAGTAGCTGGGACTACAGGCGCCCACTACCTCGCCCGGCTAGTTTTTTGTATTTTTAGTAGAGACGGGGTTTCACCGTGTTAGCCAGGATGGTCTCGATCTCCTGACCTCGTGATCCGCCCGTCTCGGCCTCCCAAAGTGCTGGGATTACAGGCTTGAGCCACCGCGCCCGGCCACCGGCTAGTTTTTTGTATTTTTAGTAGAGACGGGGTTTCACCGTGTTAGCCAGGATGTTCTCGATCTGCTGACCTCGTAATCTGCCCGTCTCGGCCTCCCATAGCGCTGGGATTACAGGCATGAGTCACCACGCCTGGCCGAAACCACACTCTTTCATGTAAAAGAGGACATTGCCTTTATACTTAAAAAAAAACTTGAAAAAATATTTGATTTAAAAATCATTGATTTTGGCTGAGCATGCTGACTCACACCTGTGTAATCCCAGTGCTTTGGAAAGTTAAAGCAGAAGGATCGCTTGAGGCCAGGAGTTTGAGACCAGCCTGGGCAACATAGTAAGGCTCTGTCTCTACAAAATGTAATAAAAATTAGCCAGGTGTGGTGGTGCACGCACCTGTAGCACTAGCTACTAGGGAGGCTGAGGTGGGAGGATAACTTGAGCTCAGGTTATAGTGACCTGTGATTGCACCATTACACTCCAGCATGGGGGACAGAGCAAGACTCTGTCTCTCTAAAATATATATATATAGAGGTTGCTCTTAGGCGCTGCTTTCAAAGGTGTGGATTATTGTTTTTGACCAAGTTTATCCATACACAAACACGTAAGAGGCCCGTCTAAATGTTTTTAACACCAGATTGGAAATTCATGAAATGCTGTTTTGTATTGCTTTATATGATCCTGAACATATTAATAATCTTCACTATGCTTTGATTTTTTGTTTGCAAATTTATAGTGTTAAAATTGGTGATGATGAGGATCAGCATAAGTTTATTGTTAAGACATGAAGACAATTACGGCCGGGCACAGTGGCTCACGCCTGTAATCCCAGCACTTTGGGAGGCCGAGACGGCGGATCACGAGGTCAGGAGATCGAGACCATCCTGGCTAACACGGTGAAACCCCGTCTCTACTAAAAATACAAAAATTAGCCGGGCGTGGTGGCGGGCGCCTGTAGTCCCAGCTACACGGGAGGCAGGGGCAGGAGAATGGCGAACCCGGGAGGCGGAGCTTGCAGTGAGTGGAGATCGTGCCACTGCACTCCAGCCTGGGCGACAGAGCGAGACTCTGTCTCAAAAAAAAAAAAAAAAAGAAAAAAAAAGATATGAAGACAATTAGTTGTAATAAAGCAATTAAATGCTTTAATACATATTAACTACAAAAAATATTTATTTTTGCCATACTTCTCTTGCCCCCTTTTTGGAGTTTTGTCCAAATTATGGATTTACATTTAAACTTCTTTTTAAATGATCTTCATGTCTCTTTTTTCAGACCTAACCTCCTTCATTCTTTCCAGTCTTGGATGCCTGTTAGACATCATCTGAATGACCCACTGTATTTTAGAATGCACTTTTGTTTGAGCTTATTATCTGTATCTTAAACTTTTTCTTCCCTTTATTGTTTCTGTTTCTTACAGTAGTTCTACCATACTTTTTCCCACTGTAACTAATCTAGTACAAATTTGTTAACTTCTGGTTTAGAAGATCTGCCTTTTATGCAGATTCTCAGTTTTCATTCCAATTCTCATTCATTTTCACACAATTCTGCTGGATTCCCTTTCCTGAAGTGTACCTGAATCAGTTGGCTGCTAAAATTTTTCTAGGGGTTTCCTAGAGCATACAGCAGTAATTCTCAAGGTGGAATGCAGATAGAATTTTCTGGAGGGCTTTTTTACACTACTGTGTACTCCCATAAGAATTAATCTTTTCTGCTCCTTTCCCATCTCCCACAGTTTAGAAACACTACTGGAGTGAGCCATATTTTTTATGTATATTATAACCCTAAAATGTGTCAGAGTGAAAAAAAACTGTTTGAGAATATGATTGCTCAAGCCTGTGCAGTCAGTTCCAGGCTCTTTAACCTAGCTGCATTCAAGGTTTTCCTAACCCTGTCTTTCTTTCTTTCTTTCTTTTCTTTCTTGCTTGCTTGCTTGCTTTCCTTGCTTTCTTGCTTTCTTTCCTTTCTTTCCTTTCCTTCCCTTCCTTCCTTTCTTTCCTTTCTCTCCTCTCCTCTCCTCTCCCCTCTCTCCTCTCCTCTTCTCTTCTTTTCGCCTGCCTGCTTGCTTGCTCGCTCCTTCTTTCTTTCTTTCTTTCTTTCTTTCTTTCTTTCTTTCTTTCTTTCTTTCTTTCTTTCTTTCTTTCTTTCTTTCTTTTTCCTTCCTTCCTTCCTTCCTTCCTTCCTTCCTTCCTTCCTTCCTTCCTTCCTTCCTTCCTTCTCTCTCTCTCTTTATTTTACCTTGTCTTTGTAACTTTATTCCTTTTTAGCCGTCCCTTATTTCCTTATTTTATTATTGCTATTCTTCTTGCAGTACTCTCTTTCTGAAAATACTCTTTCCCTCAATCTCTTGCACTTCTTACTTCTATCCATTCTTCAAGACTCGGCTTAGTATGATCTTCAGCATGAAGCAATTCCTGATTATCAGAACTGGATGTATTTTATCCTTTATATGAACTCTTTGTATGACTACTCCAACTATTTGCATTTTAGCTACTTCATATTCTCTTTCATTTTTTAAGATGTGCATTTTTTTCACATTTTAAAAACTCTAAAATTAGAATGTATCTTACAATTGATGTCATAGTTTAACTTGGCGTTATTCCCATCTTAGTGGTTCACAAAATGGTGTGTCATGTAACCAATGGCGCCTTAGTGAAGTATGAAGTATGGTATCATATCTCCCTTTCTGTGACTCTTAGGCCTAGCACTGGCATCTGATTCATTTGTGCATGTTCCAAATTATCCAATACTGTTCCTTACACACAAATACAACACATGTATGTGTATTAATTAACCAGAATTAGCTCAGAACTGTCCTTGGTAGTGTAAGAAATAAAAAAAAAGTGGGGAATGGGGGCGGCAAATGTTAGTTTTCTGTAGTCCTCTGAGTAAACGAAACATATCCATTAGCCATTGTTTCCGAATAGGACAGTGTTAACATTTTGGAAAGGGTTCAATTCTTTTTTGTGCGGGGCTGTTTTGTGCACTCCAGGGTGGAATATACTGACCTCTAGTTGCCATATGTTAGTGTCTTCCAGTCACTGAGAGAACAAAAACCTACACTACGCGTTTCAAAATCCAGCTGTCATCTGACTTTAAATTCCTGCACCAGGAACTTTTAATATTTCTCTGATCATCTCATTTAAGATTCATCTCCTGGCTGGGCGTGGTGGCTCACACCTGTAATCCCAGCACTTTGGGAGGCCAAGGTGGGTGGATCACCTGAGGTCGGGAGCTCAAGACCAGCCTGGCCAATATGGTGAAACCTCGTCTCTACTAAAAATACAAAAATCAGCTGGGCGTGGTGGCGCATGCCTGTAATCCCAGCTATTCCGGAGGCTGAGGCAGGAGAATTGCTTGAACTTGGGAGGCAGAGGTTGCAGTGAGCCAATATCCCACCACTGCACTTCAGGCTGGGCGACAAGAGCGAGACTCTGTCTCAGGAAAAAAAAAAAGAATTATCTCCCGTCTATGGGCTTAAGAGTGTTCAGTGTATTATTATCTCCATTGCTGTTTGTATTCCAGCCTACTGATTTTTTTTTGGTCAGTTCCTACAAAATACCTAGGTCTTTCCTGTCTGTGTTAGTCTGCTTGGGCATTCATCTCAAATTATTACCAGGTGACTTTAACAACAGAAATTTATTATCACACAGTTCTTGGGGCTGGAAATCCAACAGCAGAGTGTCAGTGGAGTTGGCTTTTACTGAGATGTCCCTGCCTGGCTTGTAGACTACCACCTTCTCACTGTAGCCTCACATGGCCTGTCCTGTGTGTTCATATGGAGGGGGCGTGGAGAGAGAGCCGGAGAGAGAGGGACAGAGACACATCAATCGACTA